ATAATTTTATTACAATGGATATAGTTTAGCAGGTAATGAGGCATGTACGAACGGCGGTGCCCGACCAGTCCATCCGCGTATACAAATACACTTTAGAACAGATAATTATTAACAATACCACACTCAAGCATCTTTTCAACCATAATTCGTACAATATCGATCCAATCCTTCGATATGATCTCTTCATTGTACTAAAAGAAAACTTCGAACTCTAAACGCATCAAGTATTATAAACATTACGTTTTGGATTGAAAAGCTCTCAGTGTGACCAGTGCGAGAACATATAAAACTAACATCGCGGGTAAACATAACATTAACTACACAGCCTCAAAAGAAGATGATTCGTAACATTTAAAAAATTAGGTCGTCAATATGAGTTTACTTCAATATTTCTACCATCTATGTACGTCCATCTTTACAAAATGACATATTCCATCGGCTATTTGGTCTTACGAAGGACAACACAGACGTGTGTTCTAGAATTCACAGTACAAAAGATAGATTTTTTTTCTCATAGACAATCAAAGAAAACACGTGTTGCCATAAATACCAAATGCAAAACTTCATCTCCTATACGAACATTTAAATTTATCATAGTATAAGTATGTAATAGAAATTTTCTAAGCCTTGCTAACTGTAACGACTCAGTGCAATTCCAAACAATCTTTCAATTTCATTCCAATACAAACACCGTCAGCGTTAGCGTCGAAAAAAGACAACTGATCCCTTAGCGCAATGTCATAGTCATAACAATCTCTGAAACCACCAAAAAAAATTTTTTTTTGTAAAGTACAAAAGCAAATGCGCAGAGCATAACTTGGTTCCTATTGTCACTTACTACTTTCTAACGCTTAAACTGTGCTGGATTTTGAGGCAACGCATACAAACCTTAAAATTACAAACACAGGTGCAGTTTTTTACATTCATAAAAAATAGACATTACTCCCTTTTTATGAATTCTTGCACTGTTAGTAACTATAGTACAATTTGGTACAATTTTGAAAGATAAATGTTCTACGTTTCTATCTAAAATATACACTATTATATCGCGTTAATACTTTTATGTTCGCCTAATATCGCATCGCAAACAAGACGGGGCAGGGTTTATGCGGTCAGTATGAAAGAAAACTAAATAACGCTAGCACCCGTATTCGTTAACCCATATGGAACTAAAAACATTTTGCTACACCATTTTATATAAAAGCTACAGGTACTTATTTCGAGCTATAATTGATTATACGAATTCGGGCGCCAGCCTTAACATCATACATCCACGTAGTATAGTTCCCATTCTTTAAAACACGAAGGTGTAAATGCTAACCATACAAAATTTAAGTCTCCGTAACATATTGACGGCCATAGACCTTGACCATAAGAAATTATTTACTCTAAATTACATCAATATCTACGTACAACGCTAAATAACGAAATGATTTAACGTTTAGTTATATTGGTCTGACCAACGAATAAAAACTTTTAATGATATGAATATCGAGTATGATAAAACGTAGGCTGGAATCGGCTATTTAACCTTTAAAAACTTTACATTAATTTACTGAATCTACATGAAAGAATAAGCCGCACTATAAAAATCATAATTTAAATAATTGCTAAATAAACATATGTAAGGAGCTTTCATTTTAGTCAACATTAAAATTAATGTGTTTCAAAGAAACTATAAGAAATGATCGAGGTTCAAGTAGTCAGTCAAATAATCTAGTTTTTTAGTTTAAATGTAGATGATTTCATCAACTGATATTTGCGCGGCCACTCGAACTCCGCAGAATTAATTCGTTGCATGTAAAATATATAAACAGCGTCGAAGAAAAACTCACCTATATAAGATAAATAGTTAGTGCAATTTATTCGTAACAGTAACGCCTACATCAACGATTAAAAAAGTTGTTCTACAAATTGATATAACTCCATAAAAATACCTTGTTCAATTTGTAACAAAAAGCTATATGAATGTTCAAAATATTCATATCGTCTGGAAAGTTTCGCTAACACACTGATTTCGTTTATCTCGAACTATATCTATTATAAATGCCTAGATAAATGTGAAGCATTCGAACTGGTCACTACTTTAAAGCTAAACAATGAAGCAGATAGGTGGTTACATAACAACGTATACCTGACGACTAGATTCAAACTTCGTGTGCCGTGTTATCACTACCGATATAATATTCCAAACACCTGTAGCTGCTACAAAAATTATTCATGAAACATACCTTACCTCATTCGACTGTAGCAAACAACAAAAAAAAACAAATTATGGAGAAAATTTACATATTTATTAGGCGTTTATTTTGAAACTATCCCAACGACGTAACACATTTCATCGTGGCTGTCGGATCCTCAGCTTCCTCATTGTATATTATTAATTATATTATTATTTATAGCTTTAAATACACATATACACGTCAACGTTCAGAATAAAATTATTATTTACTTCACTATCACTGAAAAGATACATTATATACTTGATAACAGATACAGGTCGCGCGACGTATGGACGCAAATAATTTTAAGAAATATAATTTACATACATACAGACAAAGTTTAAAGAATGTTGTACATATAAATTACTACAACAATTAAATTATTAAAACTTTGTAACGCTAACAATGTTTAGCTCAATTCGTTTAAAGTTTTACAAAATTTTAGCACCGTGAAATACAGGTTAATCAATTGATGCGAATGACTTAAAATGGTTCAACATTATTTAATCACGCGAAATATATATTTCTTGTAACAATTTATTTTTGAAAGTAAAAGTAGATATTTTATCTAAGATACGAAATGGAGATAGAAAATCAAGACATATTGAACCTTATAATTTTACACATACCTACATATTTATACCCACGATAAAGTAATAACCATAGACTGACAACAATAAATTTTAATTGTCAAGATGGCGTCCACACGACGCGCGGAACCACAAACAACAGCGCCTAAGAAAGAGATAACAATTTTTTTTAGGATAATACCCATAAACACGTTTGTATGTGGTAGTTACAATTAGATAAATTATCAACTAGTAACTATATTATAATACGCTTGCGGAGACACATCTTAAATAAGAAAGTCGTCGTGTTCGCTTTTGGTATATGTCTCAGCAAGCTTATGTACTAGAGTAATTATTGTTCCGGAGGCGGGCGTTTACGGCTCGTGCGCACTCAAGCCAATGTTGCCCGATGATGTCTACATAGCTAAGTGAACCTCAAGCTAGAAATTACCATGTAGATTTTATATTTCTCGATGATTACAAACGCCGTATACAAACATTTGTAAGTTTAGGTACGATTATCTTAAATATCAAAAGCTCACAACTCTATCGAGAGGTGTTTGAAGAATATCATAAGACAATTTAGCATTACATACGCCGAAATTGGGTAGAACTTATAGGGATGAAGTGCAAAAATTTAGCATTTTATATGCACCAAAATTTAATTTAATTACAATCGAAAATAGGCCGTAATAATGACCCCTTTTTAAAAATTTTTATTTGGTTTTTGTAGCCGATGTTACCTTCCCTTCCTATCCCATTGTAATATCGATATAGAAAATCGATTTTAAAATATCGTTTTTCTGTACATCAACTTACAACACTTATTCATGAAAATTACAACAACAATATACACAGACAAAATGCACAATTTGCTGGTTTTAATCTAACACATAATAGAATCAATTTTATGTGTATTTTCTATACATGATTTACCTCAATATGTACAAAACAACTGAATACAACTAACGGTGAGTAAAACAACGTGTTACTGGCGCAACACACAAACATAATCCAGAGTACTTCTGAAGATAATTAAACTAAACAAAGAATTCTCACATCAAATAATAAATTTGAAGCACATATTTAATTTTAAAAAATGTACTCTCATCTCATACACTCATCCAAGTATCACAAACAGATGTATTAGTATCTTTTTATTGCCGAGATTAGTTAAATTGAATACATAAAATTGAAATATGTTCTCTTAAATCATATTTGTGAATTCCGCTTCCTTACACCTACTTATGGATAAACGTAAAGAATAATTAATAAATAATAATATTTAAAACGAATCATAACATCAAATAAGGCATGCCACTTCGCACAATGTTGACAGTTCTAAAATTTAATTAATGGAATCATTTACTAACAACTATAATAACAACTATACATAACTCATCTTAGGATAAATCAAGCCGTGATTTCGTTATTCTACACATGGTACATCCATGTGGTATCGGAGAAATGCTTTAAAGGAATAGTTTGCAAAAAAACGGATTCAATAAAATAGTTATAATATTCATTTGACGATCCGAAATTTACGCATAAAAAATTTTGCAGACGGTATTTCACTATATATAAAATAATATGGATCTGACATATTCCTCTGAGCTTACATTTAGTAGTATGTTCATAGGAAGCCATTTATTTTTATGAAAATTCTTATGACTAGTCAATCATTGTCTTATATCAACTTTGGTTTGTTACATGACAAACCGAAAGACTATACTGCAATTTAAATTATGCATTATGAAGAAAAAAATATTCAGACAGCCAAGCTACGGAATTTACGTACTTAGAATAATTGGTTTCAATTCATTGTAGAATAAAAATGTTTTATTACCACAGACACAAAGAAAAAAGCCGTTGTATTTATATTTGTAATCTGCTCCTCCTAATGTTTGCTATGAACATAATGAATTAGAATCCGCAAATAAAATTGAAAACCGTGCAATCTGGTTTTACAATTAAGGATATTTGGACTAAGTGTGACAACTTCCTTTGATTTTAAAACCCCTTTCTTCCTTTCTTTTTCTCTTTTAAAAGACTGCCCCAAGAAACGAAATATAAATCAATTTTTAATCATTTTAACTAAAGACCCTCAATAAAAACATATTAGAGACGAATAAAAAAATGCAAACTGATGTATGCAAGATAACAAAATCTTCGCTCAATCAAATACAACCTTTGTGGCATGTCTATAAGGTCACTTTTCCTGTCTCGATATCGCTAATGCCAGTTGCAATTCCGCATCTTCTTTTCTCCTTCTGGCTTCAGCTTCGGCTTCAAGTCGTTTAGACTCGGCGGCTGCCCAAGCCCATTGTTGCTCCTCCGATGGTAAAAACTCTACGCTTTTCGCCTCAGTGGGTGTTTTCGTCTTCTTCTCTTTATTTTGCCGCGTTCTTCCTATCCCACCTATCGTGTGAACGAGAGTTTTTGCATATTTCACTGGCTTAGGCGACTTCTCTTTCTTGTTTGGAAGCGTATTCGTTGGCCACGTTTCGTTTAAGTTTTTATTACTATCTGTGCCCCAATCCGTTGCCCAGTTTTCAGTTTTGTTCGCCCAGTTATCCGTTTTCCAGTCGCCTATTGAATCTTTTGTAGAGTTCGACGACCAGGCATTGGATTGTTGGTTACTCGATTTTGTCCACGCTTCATGTGAGGCCCAGTTATCGTTGGGCCAGGCCGCCCATGCGTCGTTATTGTTCGTCTTCAAATCGGAACGCGTTGAAAACGGATCGTATGCTACAGGAGGGGCGGAGACGCGACCGCTTCGTTTCTCCGGCAAAGTGAAACTTCCGTTGACGGTGGACGAGGGAGAAAAGAAGTCGTCCGTTTCAAAACCGGCAACCGAAGTTGGTCTGGCGAAGGGATCGAGCTTTTTCGAATCGGTCACATCGGCGAATGGGTCCTCTATATTGAAAGGGTCCTCGTATCTGTAGTCTTTGAAGGGGTCATCGGTGAATTCCATCGGTTTGGCGCGGTCGTTCTGGACGCAACAAAGTGTGTGAGTGAGTAGGCGTGTGTTGTGCTTTGTGTGTGTGGGAGAGAGAGGGGTGTACGCACGTGTGACCCGGCCGCCGCGTCCGCTTAGCGCTGCAATGTGGGGACAAGCACGAGCGTGGTTAGCACGTTAGTGGACAAGTGGATGCTCATGGCGAAGGGAACACTTTGTGACGGCATACGTAACAATTCCTTAAATATATAACTGTATTCGCCTTTATATTTCTAATAATAATATGTATAGATCAACGTTTCAAAAGTGACTGTTCTATTTTAATTAAATGCAAAAGTAAATATTACTTTCTGATGTTTAACACAAACTTAAAAGGCAAAGTCAAGTTAGAGGTACTTAAAATATATTATTTTCACATAGTGTTCCCAATACAGTACAGAAATATTTACATACAGATAAAAGTAGGTTATTTTAAACGATTAATAAACAAATGAAATTATACCAATAATGTGGAAGAAAATGGGATGAAACATAAAAGGCGAACCAAACAACTAAGATGGGAAATAACAAATTTACGTATAATAAGAATAACTGTTAGGTATAGTATAGCAATGTTACTAGTATATAATTAAGCTATGTCTCATGCAGTCTAGTTTTTTTTTTATATGAATGTTATTAACAAAGGCAATATTTGCTATTAATGTTACGTGTGAAATTGATCACACCATCCGTTCAAAAACCAATGTAGAGCAACGATTCAGTTACGCTAAAAAAGCTGCCTAAAAAGTGGTATTACCTACATAGGCCTCCCACTTGATTTCCTGATTGAGGGGGGGGGGACATTTGACATAGTTGCCGCACTTGGCAGGCAGTCAACCTGCAGTTTTATATTTTCTAGTTGCTATTAGAAAGACGGTGCTGCCCATCTTCTGGTTGTTTCCTCTTACGACGCTCACGAGGTGATATGGGGAATGTCTCATAGTCACCTCTTAGGACACTAGGACACCTACGAGACTAAATGAGGGACGAATCTCTTACGCCGTTCGGTTTTAATTTTATTCTATAAAACCGAATTGACAAACTCACAGACCACCTGATGACAATTGGCTACGGCAGGCCATGGACACCTGCAGCCAACTTCACACAAAAACACTTCTTCGTTCGTGTTATTGCAGAGTAAGATGGAATTGACCAAGTTCACACAGAATACCATCTTAGTTCTCAAGGGATTTTTTTATAGAATAAGGATGACAAACGAGCACACATTCCACCTGATGGAAAGTGGACGCTGTGACCCATAGACATCTACATTTATCTCGATTAAGAATAAAAAAGCAGATGCGTTGCCGCCCCTGAGGACTACGACGTAACGCCTCGTTTTCAGTAACAAAGGGTCTTTGGATCTCCGGACTCTCCATACGAAACACAGCAGTGTTAAGCTGCTATTTTACGTTGGTATTCTGTGAGAGCGTGGTCCTTTCCCGGTCGAGTTAACCTATTCGTGATACAACCACGATATAGCTACAGCGTGGCTCTACCACGATGACAACGCATCTGCATTCTGATTCTTAACCGAGCAAAAATATAGTTGTCATCGAGCCAGAACATTCACTTATCATCGGGTGAACTGTGTGCTTGTTTATTACAGTTACTTATTTAAAAAAAAACTACTTTTCGTTAATTATATCACATTGGCTTTTGAAACAGATGAAAATATGTTACTATTAAGTAATCAACTACTGAATTCTTAGAAAAGCTTATAAAAATGAGCAACATATTATATAATAAAAACTAGTAAATATCAACAAGTTATAAAAACAAAGCTACTGTCACCACAATGCACGCTAAGCGGAGCGACTAACACGTGAACAACGTGCGTGTGTACAGGACGTGCAAACTCGAGCAATTTGATGTTTACCATATTTTACAAAGTAAGCACAAAAAACGGAATAAATAAGCATACAATTTTGCTCGAGTTAGCATTTCAATTAAAATAAATAAAGGCAAAATAAAATGAAAAAAAATTACCGAAATGACGATGCATAACTCACACGCACGCATGCATGTCACTATTGTGTACTTTGTGTGTGTGTCTGTATTCAACACAAACTCACATTTGTTAACAATTTAAAAAATATACTTATACGTGTGTGTGCGAATGCAACTTCTGTCTCGAATAATAACCTCTATCATCACGTGGTTTCAAGTACTTTAAAATGACAACAGTGGAACAAAAGTTTAATCGAAATTTTAATATTATCAAGTTTTATTGCCCATTAATAACAGCCTCTTATTACAATTCAATTCTAAATAATATATTCCGCGTACCGTTCTTTATTCGCGTACTTATCTTAAAATGAGAGTACGGTGAGCAAAACGAAACTGCAGATTCTAAGGCTCTCAATCGACTTGTTATATTTTTATTTGCAATTATCACAATCAGATCAGCAAATTTACTTGAGATTTTGAAATTGGAGCATTTTTTCAGAGCAATATTTGTTAAAACATATTAATTCGACTCCATCATGAAATCCACGTGACGACGAGCCACAATAACAAAATAACGAGAATGGCATTCGGCGCAACAGAGAAAGTAAAAGTTTGCATTTGAAAATAAAATTATATATGAAAGATCGTTTTTCAATTGGAAATATTAAAAAAGATTAAGTTTCCTATTTAAAGTTTAGAAAAAAACTAATAGGAAAAACCATAACTAGAATTAAAATTATTGAAAGACGATCTTCGTCATACTATCTATGTAAGAAAATTAACACTATAAACATAATTAATCCATAACTACTAAAAAGCAACTTAAAGACTGTAATGAAACATATTATAAATCGATAACTATCAAGGATTAACGCCGTCACATACCGACGCAGCGAACCGCTGTTGTAATACTCCTGTAATTCTATCCTAAAATATGGAAAACATATCGCGAATGTTTCATCTCGCTCTGTTTTTTATAGAGAAAGGGTGACAAACGAGTACATAGTATACCTGATCGTCCAATATTCGCGGTATGTTTCCTATATTCTAAGATAGTTATACCGGAGGTTCGCCACCGCGATTAACGGGGTCGGTGAGCTAAAACGTAGAAATTCAACTGTGTTAAAGTTTAATTTTGATTTCTTCATAATTTAATAACTACGCAAAAGGTAGATTTATGAATATGCTATCCATTACATTCTAAAAGGCCAGCTAAGAAATGCCATTCTCTAAGAACGAAACAATCAGGGACATTGCCAGGGACATTTACCTACATTTTACTTTCTCTGCAGCGTTAAACAAAACAAAATAAAAAGATCAATTTAGCTGGAAATCCTTTTGTCAGCCGATTGCTTCATGCCGCTACTTTTTGGTATAAGAGGAGGGTAAGGAACAAACAATTTTTCTGTGTACAAAAAATAATATAAAATCTGAAAACAAATATAAAATTGTTTTGTTGACTGTACAACCAGGCAGATACAAAATTAAAATATCTCAGACCGTCTTATTACAAACATGGTTTATTGACAGTATTTTGTTTAAACTATGGTTTAATAAGTCTCTTAGCTATGGCGCTAAAGTTTTCGCGTATTGCCATTTGCTATCAAATTCCACAACTCACGGAATCTGCGATGGAAATATGGGAAAATGTTTCCACATTTCCGTGGCTTTTATTTCGTGAATCAGGGTTGCAGTTTACGCATGAGACTAGAAACTGCTTTTTTTGTAATAAGACGTTTAAAGCCGTACATTACAATAAGGTTACCGTAAATTAACATGCCTGTCAAACCCCAATGCTAACATAGGTTTTTCCTTATAAATTTCCTGATATGGGGTATGTACAGTGTAAACTCTTTAAAGCGACACTGAAGAAACTACGCATTTCAAGGTGTTATTATTGAGTTATTAAATGGAATTGAATACAAATATTTTCTCTTACTCGCCATGTTCACAGTTATAATGTGATCTAACGACAGTCTAGCAGCAGAGACAAACAGTAGAGGAGAGAAATGTATTAGAATGGATTCAGTTTTTGCTTAGAAAATTTTGGGAATGATAACTGGTTTCTTGATCTGGATATAAATAAGTATTATTTTTTTAATTTAGATAACTAATTCAAAAAAAAATTTTTCTTAAAACTTGTTTGGATTTTTTCAATTATTTGTAATATAAGATGAAATGACACGTAAAGGGGAAGGATTATTTTCCAACGTAGACCGTGGGTTTGTACCGTAGTTGTCTTTGCTGGTGGCTGAAGAACATGCAAGGTATCACAACAAAGAAAGATTTTTTTTAGAATCTTCGGTACGTATGATGCCGATAGTCGAGGTAAATACGGGCTAAACAATAACGTTATTAAATTACAAACAAAAGAACGTACAAAGATGCAGTTCTTATTAATTTCGGCAACATAAAAAGTACTGTTCATTGCTTAATAATGAGGTATTGTTGTCGTTATTTAGAGTGAGTGTTACATAGTGTATCATTGTATGGAACAACAAGGTAAACCAACGAGAGTCAAGTAATTTCGACGTTTTAGGGAGTTTGTAGTTAAATCGAGTAGCGTTAAATAGAGTTTACACTGTATTTGTAATAAGGAGATATTAAATATGTATCCCTATATATTGTATTGCATATAATTTATGTTCTTAATAACATAATTTTATTTAAAATCTGCCCGACTGTACTATTCATTGTTAACAAAAAATTTCGAAAATCATTTTTATATATTTATATCTTAGGATTTATAAAATATAAGTTGCTAGAGACTCTACTTCAATCCTGTTCAAAACTTTAGTTTAAAGTTATATGTGATTTTTTTATAAATTTTATGAGTAAACGATTAACCGAAAATTAACCTTAATGTGAACCATTGAAATAAAAAATAACATAGAGAATGAATATTTATTTTAACAAAACTTTATATGGTAGGAACATAGAGCAATGTAATAAAAATGTATTCAGAGTTTGCTTGGAAAATTCTGGGAATGATGAATTGGATAAGTTTTTTTTTTTAGTTCAGATCATTATAGTTCGGCCGTTCAGAGAATGCGTTCCTGACACGTCGCGATTGAACTGACGACGTAACTTTGTAATGGCGTTGCAGTTACGATAAAAATATTTTTGCTGGTTGTTTACCGTTTTAACAATTTATGAGCATTAAAACAACATTATTATATCAATAATCAATGAATGTTATAATTGTGTGCCAAACTGAGTGTCAAATAACTTGGTAAACAATATTTTTCTAAATCTATACTGCGCTATTACAAGGTTATGACAGCGCTTCATATTTGTAGTGCTGTGCTAACAATAACAGGCAATAACAGTATCGTAATCTGTTCTTATACAGTTATACTTTATAAAATAATACGTTTTGTTTTTCTTTTTAAGAATTTGAAAATAATGGACTATAAGATAACTTTTATTAAATATAAAAATAAAACTACGACCAAACCGAACGCGCGAAAGAAAGTAGCATTTTTATATTTAGGTTGAAAATGGTAACCCCAAATGGCGTTATGAGCCGCCATTTTGTGACGCTAAAACAGTCGTCTGTTGTCGTTTCGTGCGCATAGACCACGTTCTTCAAGTGTTTTCGATCTGTTTTTATTTGATTACCCGGCTTTCGTTTAATGGACTGTTTCTGCTTTTCAAACTGACATCGGCGCTAAATCGGACTTCGGTTGTGTTTTGTATTGCGTTCTTTTTACTTTTGGTGCATAATAATACCTAAACGTGGACAAACATTGAAAAGTGGAGCCCGTGAGTTAATCATCAAGCTGCAAGATTACTTTGAGCGGGATCGGCAAAATGGCGGATCCCTGTTACCTGTCGAACAAGTACAAGAACGCGTCTCTCAGGCGCTTGGAGTTAGCAAACGAACGATAATAAAGAAAAGTTCGGCTCTACTGGCACGGAAGATAATATTTTACGTACTCCGAAGAAGAAACGTAGAACTAAACCCGTGACAGATATTGACACCTTTGACGCCGATGCAATCAGAAATCATATATATGGTTACTATTCCAGAAATGAATATTTCAACAGGAAGAAGCTTTTGGCATTGTTAAGAGAAGCTGGACTGTTTAGCGGGGGTAAAACTGCTTTAACCAAAATCTTAAAAGATATTGGTTTTTCGTATAAAAAAACAGACAAAAGAAAAATTTTATTGGAACGATAGGACATAATTTTAAAACGGATAAGTTTTTTGAGAGAAGCAAAAAATATTGATAACCGGGATAATGTCGTGTTCATTGACGACACATGGCTAAACGCCAATCACACGGTTTCCCGTTCTTGGACGGATGATACACAAGCGTCGACGTCGAAAGTACCAATGGGTAAGGGGGCCCGTCTGATAATATAAGTTAGTAGTAGTTAGTTAGTTAGTTATATAGTTCTGCAAAATACGGCTTTGTGAAGAACGCGTTACTGGCATTTCACTCAAAAACCACAAATGACTACCACGAGGAAATGAATGCCACTACATTTAAAGAGTGGTTCCAGAACGTGCTTTTGCCTAGCATACCAGAGCCTTCTGTAATATTCATGGATAATTCCTCCTATCACTCGGTTCAAATACAGAAACCACCTACCCAAGCTAATAAAAAAGAAGAAATGATGGCTTGGTTACAAGCAAAAGGCATTGACGCAAATATGCAGATGCTAAAACCAGAGCTAATTAAATTAGTTAAAGAAAATAAAGCGCCAAATGTGCGATACGAAATCGATGAACTGGCTCTGGAGTACGATCATCGCGTTCTAAGAATTCCACCGTATCATTGCCAATATAACGCAATTGAGCTAATCTGGGCTCAAATAAAAGGTTACGCCGCCCGCCACAATACTTCCCCGCCATTCAGCACGAAAAAGATGATGACCCTATTAAAAGAAGCCTGCGGGGATGTCACAAGAGATGACTGGGCAAAGGTTGTTGAGAAGACTAAAAACCTGATTGTGGAACATTTTGACCGAGATATCAGGATTGATTCTGTTATTGATAATAATATAATTATACATGTAGGCGAAGATAATGATGAAGACACCACCTCCTCAAGCGAATCGGAATCTGATTAATATTCTGTACGCACATTCAATTCAATGTACTTTATTGCATAGAAATACAGATTGTAACTTTGTAACAAAGAATAAATAAAACAATTTTATTATATTAATATTACCTTTTTTTGGCTTCCACTTAAATTACTAAAATATAAATTTTAAATGATTCCGCCAATTTAAAACAAAATAATCTTAAAAATAACGCGGCGGTTCATTTTGGAGGAACGGTAACGAACTCAGTGTTATGTTGTGCACATCACTAGTCGTGACTAACTGATAGGTGTCAGGAACGCATTCTCTGAACGGCCGAACTATAGTATAAGTATAAACAGGATTTGTTTGGACAGGTTCAATTATTTGTATTATAAGATGAAATGACATGTAAAAGGTGGAATTTTTTTTAGGTAAACTGTCGGTTATTACTTAAGTTGTCATTATTGGTGATTGAAGAAAATGCAATAAAATAAATGTTATTTCTCTGTTCTAATGACGTGAGGTGATTATCTATAATTATCTATGAGGTGAAGGTTCAATAAAAAAAACATATTAATAATAATTCGCATGGTATGTTTTTTTTTTGTTGTTATCAAAATACAATAAAATCTTTTTGTAATGAAGTAAAACCTGACTTTTGTTTAAACCGCAAGATAGAGGATTTTGTATAGATTTTATAATGCTAAACTTATTCATAGAAAAGTGGTCTCTAAATATAAGTTTTAATGGTTTTAATGTTTTAATGGTTTAAGTGCTGTGGGTGGGTGCGGCCGCATGTGACCGCTCGGGATTTGCCGGTCGCACGCGACTGCATAGGATTTTTATGGCGCTTGAAGGGTTAAGAATATATATTATAGGGTGGGTATATATAGGTTGTATGTAGGGTGTACTATAATAATAAAACGTTATAAAACTATGTACTGAAACGATATTCTTATCTTGGGATAAAGTGGCGTCAAAAAATTCACATACAATACAATACAACTCGCGGCACGAAAGTCTAGCGTTGACCGTTACTGTACCGTACTGACCGTACAATTGACCGTACAACCGACCGAATTAGTGCGTATCGTTCGCATGCGTTGATTGGGTCTCCAGTCACATTCCATCCCCCAAACTGATACGTCACTTGCAGCGATCCCCTCTGCGTTTCATCAGCGCTAGAGTTAGGTGGCGCGAGTTATACAAAGGATGAGATGTAGGTTTAGAGGCAGAGCGAGGTTACCTTGTGCGGCGGCACGGGGCGGGGTGGCGCGGGGCGCGGCGGCGGCGTCTTGTGGCGCCGCGCGGACGCACCGCTGCCCGCTCCGCTACCCGCTCCGCTGCCTGCGCCCGCGGACGGCGCCGAGCCGCGCGGCGGCGCATGCAGCACCGCAAACGGGTCCGATTCCCACGCATTCTGCACCACAACACAACTCTATCTTTCATTCTTATAATGAATAAATGATTTATTATTCAATATAGATTTTTGCATAATACATATTAAGTCATTTTTTTATTTTACCACTGGTTCGGTAAAAACCTCTGTCTCGGAAATAACCAGCAAGAAACCCAGTGGGACTTTTTTTAAACATATTTAATTGCATATATCACTTTACTATAATAAATTTATTTATTATATTTATTTATAGTAAAGTGAAATATGCAATTATCATTTATGTAGTATTTAATATTATAATAACCCTATTTGTACAATCTTTTTATGAACACAACATTTAAACTTGTTTATTAACAACAAATTTTCTACATTTTCTGGGATTTTGTTGTACAAGCATATACATTGCCCCATAAATGAATTACTAATTCTGTAGAATCTACAAAATGGTATTACAAACTTCTCTTTATTCCTAATATTAAAATATTAACATCTTTATTCGTATGAAAACTATTTGTAATTTTATGTACATATATTACATTTTCAAATCTAACTTTTTATCTAAAGGACTATTTACAATTTAAATTATAAATCGCCCGTACGGATCTCTCTTGCACAACAAATATCACTTCAATATCAGTCATAGTACCCCATAGCAAGATTCTATAAGACGTTACGCTATAAAAGTAATTGAAATTAAAAAAGGTGACAAACAAGCACCTGATGGTAAATGAATACTGTGCCCAATAGACACCTATATTTATCTTCAATTAAAAGTCAAAATGGAGATGCCCTTTCACCCCTGAGGTTAAAATAGTATGCCTCGTTTCCAGTGAAAAAATTCCCAGTTCTGTACACTCACCATACGACACATAGCAGCATAATCTGCTATTTTACGCTGATATTTTGTGAGAACGTGGTCCTCCTACCCCGGTCGAGCCAACCCATTAGTGCATCAGCCTCAATGTCACTACAGCATGGCTCCATCACGTAAAATTATGTTTAGTGAATACATATTAATAAAATCGAGTAGTGAATACATATTAATAAAATCGAGATATCTTACAAAAATAAGAATAACAAACGAAAACACAATCCATCTGATGATAAGTGATGGCTGTGACCCAAAGACATTTATCCACGATAAAAAATCAATTGCGTTGTCACCGCTGGGGATTAAAATAAACGCCTCATTTCCAGTTCAGTTCCATATATATATAAAAAAAAAAAAAAAAAAAATTCTTAGCTCAGTATTATTAGCATACATGAAAATAAACGTGAATGACAAAATACTTACGTCAGTTGTGGCGGGCGCTTCTGTTGTATTTGGAGTGAACGCATCACCGGCGAACGGATCCGCGTCCGTAAACGCTGAGCCGAAACCGTCCTACAAATTTTAAAACGATTTTATAGTCATTAACAGTTAAATAGGCACTTTTATATTGTTGCACATTTCTTGGTGTTTCATAATATTTAACAAATAGACCTGGTCATATAAGCATATCAACATTTTTCAATATATTACGTGCACTCACGTTTACCGTACTGTGCCGTAATAAAAGTATAAGGATATACACTACCATGTATCATCCTATGGGTGACCTAACAGACAACAGGAAATCAAATCAGGAGATAAGGGGTATGTTCCGAAACGTTTTTAGTATACTACCGAATACAAATGACGTCATCAATTGACACTATATTGTAGTGGCGTGCCGCCGCCATATTGTGTCAGATATCCGGCCCTAATAAAACAATTTCTTATTGTGTGTACGCTGAATGAAGCATGCCAGAATTTGTTTTTATTTATTCAACTACAAAAAAATATAGAATAATTGCTGGTATCTCCATTAGGAGGATATAATGATTTTTGGAGCACAAAATGACAAAAAGGGGAATGAAAGTGAACGCAAGTAAGACGAAAGTGATGGTTTTTGAAAGAGATGAAAGCAAAACGGTATGTGAAATAAGAATAGAAGGAGAGTTAATTGAGCAAGTGGATGAGTTCGTATATTTGGGATGTGTATTCAGCAGGGATGGGAGATATGATAAGGATATTGAACGACGAGTGAATGCAGAAAATAAAGTAAATGGGGCTCTACACTCTATTGTGAAAAGTCAGAATGTGTCAAAAAAGGCACGTATGGCCATTCACAGTGCTGTATTAGTCCCTACTTTAACGTATGGTAGTGAAAGTTGGGTGTGGCAGAAGAAGCACGAGAGTAGAATAAATGCAGTAGAAATGCGGTCGCTAAGGAGTATGTTAGGGCTGAATCTGAGTGACAGGGTTAGAAACTGTGTGATAAAAGAAGAGTGTGGTTTGCAAGATGATGCGGTGACCAGGATTAAGAAAGGAATGCTTCGGTGGTTTGGTCATGTAGAAAGAATGAATGCGGAAAGACTGACAAAGCAAATATGTTGCAGAAGTGAATGGAAGAGTCGGAAAGGGACGTCCTAGGCGGAAGTTTGTCGACCAAATTGGCGATATACTAAAAATGGGCCAAATTAAGAGTACCCTTAACCGACGAGCATGTATGCGTAGGTATATGGATGTGGAAGAGGCGAGAAAGGTATGTCAGGATCGTGCTAAATGGAAGTCTGTAGTCTCTGCCTACCCCTCTGGGTGACAGGCGTGAGTGTTTAAGTATATGTATAAAATGACAAAATAATCGCCAACACTTTTCGAATATGGCGCAAATGTATGATGTCATGTACTGTCCCATGTTTTGGAACGAATCACCAGTATAGCGTCGATTCATGACGTCATTCGCATTGGACAGTACACTGGGTTCTATTTTGGAACATACCCAAGATCAACAGCGTCTACCTAATGACGACAAAAACTGCAGTTGCCAATCCGATTGCCAAGCGTTTGGCAACTATGGCAAATATCCCCCCTGTGAGGCAATTTATGGGGGAGGCCTGTGCTCAGCAGCAAACTTTATCAGGTAACTGTAACAGCGCATTCAAGTTACCTAGGTGGCAGGGCTCCGTTTCTGCAAGTTGTTCATCTGGGTCAGTATCATTCTCTTACCCATTTCAAATAGCAGTGCTTATACTGCTTTATTTCGATCTGAAGGCTATAAAAAACCAGTATAATTACAGGCTGTAAGGTATTTCATCTTTATCCTCCGATGTGACAACGCCTTTGTAGCCCGCTTTGTATAAATTTGGCTGCAGACATTGAGTTATATGTACTACGTACTAGAGAAGCTATTCGAAACAAAAAATGTGCACTACTCTGTTACCGCATATGGGCGGGAAACAGTAGAGACGCGCATGCGCAGTTGATATAAACACGCTAAAATTGTCATAATAAATAATTTTTATTTAGATTGTATTGTTAATAGAGCACATTTTTTTAATTTTCGTTTATTTCGCATATGTGCTAATTTAATATAAAATTATTATTAGCGCCGCTCCGTACTGCATGAATATCGAAGCCACAATAACAGGTGTGCGGATTGCAGTAAAGTTCAGTTGAACATAGAGAGTGTTCGGAACGCCATATCTAGTGCGTAGTACATACGTATATATATACATCACAATATATATATATATAATGTACTATGATTAGAACTAGGATTCTACGTCCTTTCATTTCGCATTATTGTAGCGTCCACCACTTGTAGGCAATTTTTATACATTATGACAGCGAATATTGGTCCATTAAACAATTTCAAAGATAGTGTTTAACTCATTTCTTTGAAAATTTACCATATGTCGATATACAAATATTCGTATATTGCCAGACGGAGGGAAACCAATCAGGACTCCCTTCCATATTACAAATTATCCAGAATTCCCGTAATATACATAGTTTTTAATTCATTCTCCTGCTTAACGCAATTCCTTTGTATGGTGCGACGTTGCCACTCTTATTAGTTATTCCGCTTTGTAATATTTTATTTATAGTAGGTGATATTTTGTTTATGTAGGTATTCGATAGATTCCTATAGTCTGTTTTTTTCGCAGGAGAAAAAAAATAACAGATCTTTATTAGATTCGTTTAGCACGAATAATACAGTTTTTATGATTATGGTTCAGATTAGATTTAATTTTAGTCACTTAAGTTTCGTATATTGTTCAAAATAATGAAATAAATCCAGAGAATGTGCAGTTACGAAAAATACGCAATATCATTTTTGTCTCCGGCGAAAAAAAAACAGATAGATATCATGATTAATTTACCAACTAGTTATTCGTTTACTAAATACGAAAAAATATCTAGGATTGCCCAGCCGCGATACATTATAGATTGACTATATTATTATTTATTTTACTATTGTAAATAAGTACTAATTGTAAATATTGACAGGTTTAATAGAAGTTCATTTTCTTATATTGTGACTAATAACCTAATATGACCTTGGCAAGAAACTCATTTTAATATAAGGTTTTACTGCAATGACTGCCAATGGGTTGTTAATTTCTACAATAGACCGTGGCGTATTGTTGCTGACATGAATAACTCCGAAAATATAATTTATTTACTTGATCGTATTGAGTTTTGGTGCTCCCACTGCGAGTTTACTTTTTATGATCACTATCTTAAGGATGAGTGCGACTATTGTACCTAATCTGTACAAAATTACTCTCTACTTAACTAGATTAATTTTTGTGAAAGGCTATTTTTGTTAAATTATGATATTATGTTTGGTTTTGCAGTTAGTTGAAATACAATTTGTTTGTGTTGTTGTTATAAATATTGGACGCTATATTACTAAAAACATGCATATCGTGCTCTAATTGGCGTCCGTATTGTGACCTACGCACATTGAGAACTTTTCACACATATGCTTGCTTGCATTTAAGTTTCTTTGGTTATATTTAGTAACTTAGGTAAATAAACTTGTGTAAGTTGATTAATGTACTTGACATGGCTATTGAACGGAGTATTTACCCATATACGGACGTAAGAATATCCTAAAATATTCACACTAAGTTTTATTTGACGTCCACTTCTTCGTTATCCGATGTCCAAAGTTGTTGTTGATTATTGCATTTTACTATTTATTTATGTTGATTATTTATTTAGTGCTCAAGGCATATTTTGGTATTTTTTGTCGGTTTATACTGTACTCAGTGCTAGTAGATAATTTTACTTTCCAATTTGTTTTCGTGTCCTTAGATTTAGCTACATATAATAATAGGGACGTTCGAATATCCTAAAACATTCATACTGAATGATATTTGACGTCCATATTTTAAATTTTGTTATATTTCTATATGTAGACGCCAGATTATCGGTAAAGTTTCATGCCGCACGATATTTGACGTCCATTAACCATGAATATATTTATATTTTAATTCCTTGTGTATAAGACACACATTAATGATCATTGCTTTAATGACATTTTTCGCTATTGTTTTATTCGTATTTTAGTGTAGGGATGCGGTGTAAAATACTCACTTTGGTGTTTTATAAAAATTTTTCGTTCTAAAAATGATAAAACGCTTGGAAGCTTAGAAAAGGTGTGTGAAAAATTAAATTGTATTTCAATTAACTGCAAAACCAAACATAATATCATAATTTAACAAAAATAGCCTTTCACAAAAATGAATCTAGTTAAGTAGAGAGTAATTTCGTACAGATTAGGTACAATAGTCGCACTCATCCTTAACATGCAGTGAGAGCACCAAAACTCAACACGATCAAGTAAATAAATTATATTTTTGGAGTTATGTCAGCAACAATATGCCACGGTCTATTGTAGAAATTAACAACCTATTGGCAGTTAATGCAGTAAAACCTTATATTAAAATGAGTTTCTTCGCCAGACCATATTAGGTTATTAGTCAGAGGTTATTAGTCACAATATAATAAAACAAACTTCTATGAAACCTGTCAATATCTAAAATTGAGTCCATCTTCCTGTACTCAATCATAAGGTAACTTATACTCAAACAGAATTATGGATTGCTTACGAAATACCTAACAAGAGTTCATTTAGGCAGATTAGTACCAAATGTAAAATGTTAAAATATAGTGCAGCATGAAATAAACCGATAAGCCGAGGTCCGCATCTTAAACATTCCGCATCTCAGACATTTATCAAAATATAACTAAATTCAAAAATACGGGTGTCAAATATCATTCAGTATGAAAGTTTTAGAATATTCGGACGTCCATATTATGGGTAGGTAAATGTAAAGTTAAGAAAACAAGTTTAAAAGTAAAATTACTATGTAATACCAAGCGCAGTATAAACCATATAATAATGCCCTGCAGACCGAATTACGGTTACGGCGGCCTGCCTAAACGAAGACTAGCCATCGGCGCAGGACAGGATTATAGTGCCCAAGTGTAGGCGCAACCACAGGTGCACTCTCTATTCCCTCATTCTCATAATCCGATGACACGGTAAACCGACACGACCGGATAGA